ATGGAACATTAACCTACATAATCCTTGATTACATTAGACATTATCTTTTTTCTTTATACAATTGGCAGTTCCCAGCTAGCATTAATCTCATTTCGGGTGAGATCTGGATATCGATATCTCTACATTGTAATAATATCCATCGCCCACTATACGTAAGCAACACCTATTCACCTCTATATTTGTGTGAAGAAGGTTCAAACACCATCACCCACAACATCACGACTACACCCTGTATTTGTTCCAAATTCGTTCAGTTTTCCTTCTTTGATTTCATTTGATTTTCATGAACAACTTTTAGTTTTATTTTCGCTCACCCTGTACCGATTTGAAGCAACGTGTGAACTCGAAAAAATAATGGGGCTGTTCCATTTGAAAAACTGGTCTGAGTTCACCCTGTATGTAACGTTATTGTTTTGAAAAATAGTGAATCTCTGTTTTTGAAGCAATTGTGCAATTTCATAGATTGAAATGTTCTTATTGACTTTTTTTTAATATTAAAGCATGATATCTCATGAATCAATATACAGGGCGATCCTTATGTAATTATACATAAAAGTGTGTTAGATTCTCGACCTAAAAACATGACGATTTGCGCAAGACATTCAAATATTTGTTTTTTTGCAATAACTTCGACGTTATTAAATACGGATACGTAAAAATTTTGAAACTAGCGATGAGAAATCAAAAAACCTCTATTTTCGCATCTATCATGTTTATATGTCCAAAAACTTCGAACTAATTGCGAAAATTAAATCGAACGATTTTACTTTTGACACCCCGTATCTCTCTTTATAGCAATATTACATTAAGGCAAGCGACCCGAATCGTAGTATTTCGAAGTAAAAAATCAACACCCTGTATTCAACTAGTGAATGTGCAACTTCGAACTGGCCATCACATAGTCCAGATCTGAATCCAATTGAGCATTCAAGGGTGTATATGGAAATTAATTCGAATAAAAATCGCTTCCAGGTTTTTTTTTCCTGTAGATGAACGCTTGTCAGTTCTGTAGTAATCGAATTCTCCAAATACAGGGTGTATCCATGTAAAGTGGACCGCAGTGTGAATGCGACAGATTTTCGCTTTTGGTTGTAGCAATAATTGAAATGTAACGATATCGAAAATGTACACACAGAACACTTCACTTCATTCCTTCTTCTCCTAAAACTAATTTCAAAGGTACTACAATACTAAATTGGTGAGTTTATACACGTAGTGAGGTAATAAAACCTTTTGTCGTTTTTCCTCCTTTTTTTTCTTCTTGCTTTTGCTAGAAGTGCAAAATACATCAGAATCGCCTAAAATTTTAAAACCCTGTCTCTTTCAAAGTCAGGCCCTAAGAATATGAATTGCACATTGATAGGCACTTAAAAAGTTTGTGCTACACACTAAATACCGCACGAGAAAATATCAGAAAAGAAATCACAGTTATCATTTGAATCTTTCAGGACTTTGGATGATGGTTGACGACCATTTTTCATGTTAGTCTTGTTCAATGCCAAAAGGACCTTAAGGATTCTCCACCCCTGTAGAACGATTTTGAAAAGTTTTTTGTCGTTAGGCAAGTATCTGGTAAACACCCACTACAAGGTGAGTCAGAATAAAACCGACAAACTTCGTACCTACACGGATTCCTAACCTCACTTTGAGGTGATAATGTGCTATCAACGTATGTCCTAAAATGCATCCTCACTGAGATACAGGGTGTCAAAACTACTGAAGATATGTCTCTAGGTAATATTGCTACTTGAGCAAGAAAACAATATTGAAATACTGAATTTTCTTCACATATTCACACAGTATACGATCTCGAACAAATTGCACTTTAGGTCACAGATCAATATAAACCGTTCACCTTGAAATCACGTGTGGAATATGAAGTATATGTTTGTCGATCCACCCGTACTATATTTTCTATGTTCTCAACATTCAAAAATATTCAAGAGATAGAGAAATTTTATGATAGCAATGCAACTATGTATGTCTAAGACCAAACGACCTTCATCTCACCCATGCTTTATTCACAAATGGAATACCTGCCGTTTCATTGAAGTTTCGTGACGTTTTTGTGACGTTATTGACGCTTTGACGAATGCGTGACGTTTCTGTAACGTTTCTGTGACGTTTCTGTGACGATTTTTACGCCTTGACAAAAACGTCACAAGAACGTCACATAAACGTCACGCATTTGTCCAAAGTGTTAAAAACGTCACAAAACTACACAAAATCGTCAAACTACATTGGGTCAGGCAGGTATTCCATTTAAGAACAAAGCATGGGTGGAATAGGGGTCGATTGGTATGACAGGTGGACTACTTATAATAACTCGTTA